CGACCACTTCAAACTGACTTACATCATAAAAATAAACCCCATCTCCTTCGGTATTCCCTGTTTACTCTTCGGTTCAGGCTCCTCAACAGTTTTAACAATCATCACTGTTCGGGAATCTGCGTAATTCGGTGATTTGTACGCATAATTTCGTTCGCAACCGGAAGACAGACCACAGGTGTCACCATTCAGACTCCAGAATACAACATATATTAGGCCTTTATTACAATCCATGTTGCATGTACAACATTCTTCCGTTTAATGTTCTTATTCTCATTTTATTCTCTTATTTTGTCTATTTTGGTCGACTGTCATTGCTTCAGCTCTTATTGTTCATAATGCACCGTCAGAAATTTTTAGCGGAAATTTTCGGTATACTTCTTGCAAATTTTTATCACACTACAGTGTCACTGAAATTTCGAGGAATTTCGTTATTGAAAATTCACAATGTTATGGAACAATCGATGTAAACTGTAAATTTTAATTCAGTTGTGAGTTGTGATTTATTTTCATAAATCGAAATCATAAATGTTCAGTTAAATATGTAATGTGATTGATAATTATTTGAAGACTCAGCGTAATTTGGTGCTGAATATTTATGTTTTAACTGAAATTCACATAAGTTGGAAAATTCTCGTCTTTCTGTTGCTCAAAAATTAGGAATTTCAATGATTTTCTAGTAGTAATACCACGAATGCTAAAAAATTATCGATTATTTGCAAAGAAAAATTCAGAACAATTTTTAACCTACATAGAAAACAAGTGGAAAATTGCTTTCGTCGCAACATAAACAATATATTTTTGCTAATAAATTAGCAATTTGCTGCCGAATGGAATTTCTGTGACGATGTATTTTAAATTGAATTCAACATTGTTCCAATACTGACAGCCAACATTGCTCCAATGTGAAAATCGATCTCGATCATGATTACGTTGCGATGAATATTTTAATCACAATTCGATTTATTTAAACAATAATTTAATTTAAGGATTATAAATATGTACACACATCTGGACATCGTCTAACAATAGCATATTCGAACTCCTGAAGCCAAAATTACTTATCCTGACATAAAAAATTTGAAATTTAGGATTTAAGGAATACAATGTTTCCATTTGGAAGCAAAAATGTTTCAAATTTTCCAGGTCACAAATGTTTCTGCAAAATTTAGTACATTTTTCTTCTTAAAAATGGCGAATTTTGCAGGTTAAAAATTTTTCTGCAAAATTTGACACATTGTTTTTATGCAGGGAAGTTTGAAGAATTTAACCGATAATTTTGATGTAGCAGTGGTATTTGTTGGAATATTTCTTTTACTCAGACGTTGACCAATCGGAGTGCAGTATTTCGTGGAAAAAATAAATGCAGAGCTGGGGACACATTTCCGAGATACAACGATTGAGTAGCCTCGCATGCTACTCTCTGATTAGTTGATATTCGAGAAAAAGAAAGGTTTATTGAAATTTGAAATTTCATTATTTTTTGCCTTTAATCGAATTCATTGTCACCCTTCAGAAAATTACTAACCAACTGTGCATGGAATTTCAATTTTTATCTACTTGTGTGACCGTCCTTTTCCATTATATACTTTTGAAAAAAAAATAATAAAATTGTTGAAAAACTATTCATGGCCAGTTCAGTAGTAATTTTCAAAAAAATGACTTCAAGTTTCATTTGGAGAAAAAAATCTCAAAATTTCAAATTTCACTGAACATTCAATGAAATTCCAAGTTTTTGAGCATCAAGGAGACTAAAATTCCCAAACTTATGTAAATTGTCAGTCAAAACATGAATATTCAACACCAAATTATTCTAAATTTTCACTTAATTAGAAATGCAAGAATATTTGTATTAATTTTTATGAAATAATTGAATTAACATTCACAGTCCTCATCGATTTCTTCATCAAATTGTGAAATTTCAACGAAGAAATTCCTTAAAATTCTAGTGGAACTGTGGCTTGATGAAACCTTTCGAAAAAATTTATCGGAAATTCCAGTCAAAAACTTGAAACAGTGCATTAAAGGGGAATTACCGAACCAACTATGACGAAACGATGAGAAGTAAAGATTCATAAAACTAGCTACGTTATTGCGGTTGGCTGATTGCTCCTGGTTTGGTGTATGGGTCCTACGGTTTATTTGAATTTCATTGCCGAATCAGGTTTTGCTTTGGAAATTTATGTCCAGCCGGAAGAGTACACCGTGAGAATTCAACTAGGAGCCCTTGGTTATTGGTTAATAAGTAGTAACGGTACTACACGTTTAAAACATTACTTTTAAAATTTCAGTGAAAAAACTTGAAAATTCTAACAACCACTAATTTCTATAAAAATTCAGATATATTGCTGCGGATAAATCAATTGATTTCTGGAATTTTCAATGAAATTGGAGTTTTGGAGGCCATACGACAATGAAAATCATTAAAAATTCAGGCAACTATTGTCTTTATTTTCTAAATTATTAAAAATCAAATTGAATGTGATGTTCAATCTTAGCAAAATACAACCTGTCATTAGAACAATGGCTCAATTTCGTTCAATTTTCAAAATGATTAATAAATTCCGGGAACGATTTGATTTTGAGTTGGGTTCAAACTCCCATCGAAAATTGAAATGCAGCTATTACTTAAAACAAATTAATTTATTATCAATTAATATTCATTAAATATAAAGTAATAACAAAATTCGTGGTATTGATTTCTCCAAATTTTCCCGTGACTCCCAAATTAAAATTCATGGACATAGAGATAATCAACAGCATTGCAATGAGCCAAATTTCATAAAAATTGATGTGAATATAAAAATGATGAGGAAATTCATGAAAATAAAGATGAGGTTATTTTTTTCATCAACAGCAAGTTTAAATCAAAGACAAAAAGATAACTAAAAAAAGACAAAGATAATTCAAAAGTCATGAATTTCGGATTGTGCCCAAAATGTAAAATAACATTAAATAAAATGTAATTAAAATTCAAATTCTAACATCAGCCGAAGGAATGTTCAATGAAATTGGATTTTTTGAGTTCAACGACAATGAAAATAATTGCAAATTCTGGAAATTCAAGCACTTATTGGTCTCAATTTTCAAACTATTAAAAATCCAATTTAATATGATCTTCAATCTTTACAATGAGTTAACAAATTCAACCTGCCATTCGTCTAACATGGAGAACTTGATTTCGTTGAATTCCCAAGATGAATAATAAATTCCTTAAACAATATGATCTTAACCTGAGTTCAAACTCACATTAAAAATGCAAATACAGCTATAACTTGAAACAAATTAATTTGTCAATTTGTTATTTATATTAACTAAATGTCAATTACTGACAGAAGTCATTATACTAATTTCTCCAAAATCAACAACATTAATTTTAATTACCCAAATTCCAAAAATATCAACATGAATAAAAAATTCAGGAAAACAAAAAAAAAAATTTTTTCTCATCAACAGCAAGTATTGAATGAAAGACAAAGAACCAACTCAAAACTCCTGAAATTCCCATTACACCCAAAGTGCAAACTTCAACTGTCCATCCCAAAAATCATCACCAACCAACGAAAAACCAAAAAAATTGAATTAACCCACCAAAAATGCGTAACCAACCTCAACCAGAAGAACTACAAATTCCATCACCCCTCGCCGCCACTCGCCTCCCGCCCCTCCCACGCCGCACCCCACCAGAATCCCCGAAAAACACCGCTGATCCGTCCACGTGGTTACAACCGCAGAGAGGGAGAATGGCCTTGATCGTTGTTGTTGAGAATGGGTGGGAAGTTCCCCCCCTCCCCCCACTCCAACCCAAAAAGAAGGGGAGCACCGTCCAACGCCACATGATTACCTACCGGCGTCCGCCAGATGTCTCCACCTCCGTTACCCCGCGTACTCACGTAGCATCCACACATCGCTGACGTGCACGCATTTTCCAATTCGCGGTGTTCCATTCTGTCCCATCCAGCTCCATTCTGTCTTGCGCACCGCACACCAAAAAATCCATCCTGGCTGTTTGTTTGGTACATGTCGGCGGGGGGTTCGGGCGGAAGAGGCGGATGGTTCGGTTGACGCGGGGGGGGGACCACCGTTCTCCCCCATTTCGTTCTATTCTGCTCTATTCCGTTGAGTTCTACCCGGGCGCCAGTGGAGTGGGGTTAACACCCGCGGGAAATAACCCAAGTGGGGAGAAACCCCCGTGTCCCCTCTCTGTCTTTCTCGCACCCCCCCCC